TAGCCGAGCGCCAACAGCTCCTTCCGGAGCTCCGCGTCTGTCAGCTCCGCCATGGCCGCGGCGCTGACAACAGGCCCCACCGGAAACGGTCTGCGCGCAGGGAAGCCCGGGCGCCATCTTGGGAGGGGCCCGCTGCCTCCCTCCGGCGGCCATCTTGGGAAGGGCAAATGCGGGGCTCTTGCGCTCCCGCCGTCGGCATGGCCGGCGCCATGTTGATGGGGAGGCGGGGCGTGAGCGCCATATTGGGATGGTCGAGGGAAAACGCCATCTTGCGAAGGCAGCGTCGCTGTTTCCGCCATGTTGGGGAGGTCAGGCGCCCTCGCAGAGAGGGAATGGCGCCGGGCGGGAGCTGTTGCTCATCTCAGGAGAGGAGAAAGGGGGGAGAAATGGAGAAAGCGAAGAGCAAAAGCAGCCTCAGCACCTGGGGCCGACCAGTGTCGCCACCCCATCACTCTGGAGGGACCCTGCCCAGGAGCAAGCAGGGGGGTTGAGCACCTCTCACCTCACTCCCGCCAAGCTACACTGATGTTTGACACTTTTAGGGACAGGGTTTAGTGGTGGGATGGCAGGGTTAGGTTAAAGGTTGGACTCGATGATCTTAAAGGTCTTTTCCAACCAAAGTGATTCTATGATTTATGAGAAAGAAGCGTCTTTCCCAGCCACCTGCCGCCCTCCTCTCCCCATCCTCATCCCTCTCGTCGCTGCCAACTTGCAGTCATTTAACTGGCACCCATCAAGCGGGCTGGAGCTTTGCCACCACTTTCAAGCAGGATCAGGATCTGGGTCCTCGGGATATTTGCCAGGGAAGGAGGTTCCTTGCATACTTTGCAGCCTAAAAAGGCAAAACCAAGCGTTGATTTGAAAATTTATTTTGGCAAGGCAGTGATGTACAGTAATTGCTTTTTCCTGCCGCCGTCTATAAAGAAAGTAATGAAAGTGGCTGAAATACTGTGGCGTAATATCGGAATTTAATTAAAGATAATGAAAAAGTAGTGATGAATGCGTGCAGGCTGTCTGTACATCGCCTTTTTTATGATCGATGCCTGATACTGGAGCAGCAGAAACTCAGCGGTCCCGCAGGAGCGGGACCTGCGGCAGCGGGAGCTGGGGGGGCTGCGGGAGAGCTCTGCGTGGATCCCCACCGCTTGCTACCATGAAGCGGGGGACGCTAAACTGTGCCTTCACAACACACCAAATTCTTTAGGGACACCCCTCCTTTCACACTCATTTTACTGCCGTGCCCTTCTGTCTAGGGCATCAGGCAAAGCTCGCCTCGCCCCTCCTGATTTATACAAGAAAGCAGCAACAAGATGCTGAGATTTGTTTAATCTGGTTAGCAACAACAAATACACACTTAGTAGAGGCCAGGGAGCCCATTAAAAGAGCATACTCCGTTCCGATGGGAAGTGTGAATGTGCTAAGCCGAGCCTCCCTTGCTCACTAACTGGAAAGCACAACTGACAGCTAATAATTTGGAGCGGTGTCTAATGTACATACAGAATTAGAATATGCTCTTAGTACACAGGTTTTTGTAAGCTCGCAGCTTTCAGTTTGGAGAAGCTCTGCCTAGACGTGCAGATGCATGCTGGCATTGAAGCCTGAGCTGATACAAGCTCGTGAATTAACTGAACTCCTCTTGCTTCAGAGAAAAAGTTAAACACCGGCAAAGAAAAAAAAAAACCAAACCCAACCCTTCAACTTCTTGTGTTTCTGGATCGCAGGGAAGTTACACCAGGACAGAGGTTTGGCCTGGCAGCCTCATTGGATGACCTTCAGAGTAGACAACACGGGAGTGGTGTTCGAGAACTGGAGGGCTGGGGAAAAACTGGGATTCCTTCGCAGAAGGGAGGTTGGCGGCGCCGATGCTCAGCAGAAACAGATGCTGCTTCTTTGTGGAGAGAAATCCACGACCCCTCTCCCTTCCTCCCTAGCAGGACAACCCTTGGGACCATCTCTGCCTTCCCTGGGCAGCACAGAGAAGGCAGAAGGAGAAGACAGCCCCTCTGCCTCTCACACGTGACAGGGCCTATCGACCCATGGACAAGCACCTATTTGTCCCCATCACCCTGCCCACAGGGCGGATGGTGAGGCTGATGGTGGAGTTTCTGCTTTTTGCAGCCCCTTCATCATCCCCACAGCTCTGGGCAGGGGGAGAGGCTGCTGGGGCGAGCGCGGTCCTGCTGATGCTGCAGATGGGCTGTGATGCTCAGAGATGCTCGGCTGTGAAAAGCCAGTTTCCCAGCCCACAGCACAGCTCTTGAATATCTTGGCTGTAAATATCCTGAGCTGGATGTGGGAAGATGGGACAGAGAGGAGGGGACAGCCTCCACCTTCCCTGCTAGCCCAGAAGCTGCCTTAGGCCTGCTGGCAGTGACTCAGATATCGAATGGGAAGAGCAGGCGTGCCGTGCCGTCTGCTTCTCCTCTTGAAGTATCAAGACAGGACTGGTGTAAGCAGAGGGGTAGAAATAGATCTGCACCATCTTCATAAGGTGCCTGAAGAGGGGAGCGTGCTGCACCCCAAAAAGCACGGGCAGCAGACGAACCTTTCCACCCCTGACTGAGGGGCTCCTGAAAAAAAACCCAAAACCCTGCCATCCCACCCCCTCTTCTTACCCCATGGCATTTGGATGGCAGTCCTGCACATGTCACCAGGGGAAGTGTCAAATCTTACTTGGAAGCCGACTGTGCCGATTTAACGCCCCGTCACTCAGAGCCATGGGACAGGTGTGACCTAAGAACACCGCTTCTCACCCTCCCGATCGTATGTCGTGTCCTCAGCCTGCCGAGCCTTTCATTAGGTTGGGAAGTCAGTGCTGCTTTCATTCTTTTCCCTCCTTCTCCTTTCCCTGCCTCTTTCCCCCAACTGTTTGGCTGCTCATCCTGCCACGAAACACTTGTTCCGTTTCTGGAGCAGCAAGATCTTCCTACCTGCTTGCAGGCATGGACTTTGGTGCTGCTTGGCTGCAAAAGCAGCCTTCCAGGGCACTGGGGATACAGCTCTGCCCTGCAGCTTGGAGACCATTTTAACAAGAGGTAGAGCCCTGACAGTCAGAGCTGTGCCTGGGAGGATGGTTGAGGTCCATCTCCTCCTTCCAGCAGAAGAATATCTGCTTCTTTCCCAGTACTCAAGGAATTTTCTTCCCAAAGCTAAAGGCCCCCTTGCACTTTGGTGCCTATTTGGATAAAACGGTTGTTGCTGCAGGACAAGACTGGGGGTTCATGCGGTTGCTGTCAAAACCAGCCATACATCCCTGAGTTCATTCATAGCTGGGTCAACTGGGAAGAGCCATTGGCACAACCAATGGCCAGGATAAAAGCAGACCTTTGCTGCTGCAGCTTGTCTGGGTGAAACTGTAAGAGTAGAGGGAGATATCCCTGCAAAGTCACCTTGGTGGCTCTCCTTATGGAATTCTCTGCAGCATCAGCCCCACCATCACCCTGGTGGGAAATGGTCCAGGAGGCAAAGAGTCTTGTCTCTGATCTTGCTGGACACTGGTGTAAATGCGGCGCAGCTCCTCCAGTGATTTCCATGCTGGATCTCCCATGGATATCACTCCACGGCAGACTGATTTGCACTGGCTGAGCTCCTCTTGCCCAGCCATACGTGCAGTCGCTTTCCCTTTCAGCCTAATGAAATGTACTATTTTCTGTCTTCCAACCGCTCAGACTCATTTATAATGATTTTATAGCTCAACCTGCCTCAGCAATAATCCTTGCAAACTTTGAGTTACACTGAGCCGATCAGTCCACGGACTAGGAGTATGCCTTTGAATCAAATGGTAAAGCTGGAATCCACTCCATGCTGGATGTTGCATTATACATTGGGAGATTTTTTTCCTCCTAAGGGATGGCTTGCAGCAGAGAGCGTACCGAGGAGTGTTGTTCTAGCACAAACACAGCTATTTAAATGAGCCACAGCGAGAACAGAATTTGTGTTAGGTTGGGAGGATAAAATTGGATTGAAATTGGATGTATTCACATACATACCATTGATCTCATCCGTCCTTACTTTACATATGTTGGATTTCCTGCTGCCAATATAGAGGAACAGCTCTAAAATAAGCCAAAGGTATGTAAATGGAGAGCAATATGTTCAAGTTGAATTACGATTTCACCTCTAGATTTGTTTGAGAGGCAGAAATAAGGCCGGAGCTCTGCCTTGTTTCACACACGCTGTGCCTGTTCACATCATAGCTATGGGAGAGGTGCTCCTCACAAGGTTATTTAGATTTATATCGCCTGGGTGAGTCAGAGGGGGTAAGAGCACAGGTAGGAACTGCAAATCAGGGCTCCTGCTTTCTCCCAGCAGTGTGGGAGAGAGTGCCCTCCCGTGTCCAGAACCTGGTTAGGGACACCCAGGTCCCCCCACTCCTCATCCTACGCTCGTGTCACCAGTTTGGCCAGGGGATCCGGTAAATATTTGCCTCACTTTCCCTCATTGCCAAAAGGGAGGGCTAAAACTTATTAGTCCACAAAGATTAATTACTCAGGCTTTGCAACATGCTTTGCACTTCTCAGAAGGACGGCGATGTTCTCTAGAACTGGAAACCCTCCCTCTCTTCTTTCCCACACTTGCTGCTTGCCATCTGGCTGAGAGGCATGCAGAAAAGAAGGCACAAATCCTCCATTTAATTACACTGCGCATTTTATTATCTCACCTCAGATTTTGTTGTTAATCTCTTTTACAGATTTCGTTTACATAAGTGGAGTCTTTTAGCTTTAGCAAGCTACATCGCTTTCTCTTCTGAATCTTCAGATCTCAGTCAGCTAAAAAGCAAAGAGAGGAAAGAACAAGCATCCTTAGATTTGTCATTCAGTCTTTCCTAGGCTTTATATATTGTTTCCTCCGCCTCAGCTCCCCAACTGAAAAGCTAGAAGGCAAAATGAAATCAGCACAGCCGAACTGGAGTAACAGCTCCCACAGGGAGGGAGGGGAGACTCTTGTTTCAGGGATTCAAGCCCAGGTAAGAAAAAGGTCCAGAGATAACACTAGTGAGACCCCCTCTCCTGCCCCCCGAGTCTGCAGGCGTAGGTGCATCCCGTACTGCCCCTGGGTATTTCCTTTTGCAATTCCAACACACTAAGAGCAAAGCCCAGGGCTGGATTTGTTGGCACTCAACGCCTGGAATTGCAGCTAATTCTAGCTGTAATTAGTGTTAAGCCCCTGTGCAGGGAGCAAGGTGTTCAGGTCTGACTGCGGGTGCAGCTTGCGTTAGGAGCTCTGTTGGAAATTGCACCCTGAAGACGGAGGACTTTTGGGGAGGAGGAGTAGGGAAGTGGGAAGCAGCGCTGGGGAGTGCTGCCAGGAAGCGTTGCAATGCTGCTAACAGTCAATATCAGCTCTAGGGCACAGGCAGCACCCTAAGAGAGTGAATAACCTTCCCAGAAGAAGAGCGGGTGGGGTATCTGAGGACTCTGTAAAGTGAGCAAACATGACACAAAAACCCTTCTGAGGAATATAAATATATCTGTGATGATGAGCTGGTGAGAGGAGGGAAAGGCAGAATTCCCAAGGCAGAAATCAACCTCCTGACAGTACCGTCTGGGGTGTCCTGTAACATCTCTGCTAGCAGTTTCTCCAGGACATCTTGGTATTTTTCCAGCTGCCTTGGGGTGAGCCACATCCCAGCTTTGACAGGGACAGCTAGCTGTGGAAGAAGTCAGAAAAGTCAGAAGGAAAAGCTGAGGGGAGCACAGGAAGGCAGGTTGGGTTGCTTTGCTCAAGTCAGTAGAGGGTCTAAGGCTGATTTGAAGGGAAGAGGATGATCCTTATATAGGGAAAAGCAACATTTTTAAGTCAATGCAATCTTGTGCTGTTCAGAGTGCCAAAGTTTTCATGCGTTGGATCCTCTATGGGCAGACTCGAAGACACAGATAAAGGTACCTCCCGGCAACAGAGACTGTAAAGAAGAAAATAATTTCTGAACCTTATAATCCTCCACTATCTCACACCTTGTCCCTTCAAGCCATCAGCTTTCCTGATGCTGGTGAAGCACCCTGCCTTAGCAAAGACTGAGGATGAGACATCATCCTGCCTCCAGACTGACTGACTTCGAGCCAGCTGTGGCTCAGATGTACCCAAAGTAAATAGAGTTGTTCCAGTCATGGCTGGAGGCACAGGAGGGCTTGTGGTTGCAGCGGGGGGGTCTTAGACACAGAGATGTGCCAGTTATTTAATGCTTTGAACTGTGAATTCTTGCTGTTTAAATCCTATTATTGATTGTTGGTGCACCATGGTTTGCGAGAGTAGTTGCACATTAACCTGTGCCTTGGCCAAATTCCAGTCTAGCTGGTCCCACTCGCTGTCTGTCCCACAGTTTGGGCTGGACCTACACACTCCTTTTGCTGGCAGAAAGAATGGCTGAGCTCACCGCAGGAGCGGCTGCACGGGCAGGGCAAAGACTTCCCTGTATTCAAGTGGAAAAGCACAATTTTCAGACTTGGCTAACCAGGTAAGCATGCCTTTCAGGGCTTAGACTGGCACTTAAATCCCTAAAATTGGCAATTTTCTGCTCTGTATAGAGACTTTGGGGGGGGGGGGGTGCGGCCATATGGGCCCAAGTTTATAAATAAGGTCTTGCCAGTGCAGAGGACTGTGAGATCGGAGGTAACACCAGGCAGGTAATCTGGAGCTGGGTGAAAAAGTGACAAGTTAAATCCAGAGCTGAAGCAGAGCTGCAAATTCCTGCCTTGCAGTTGGCTGGTGTTCACTGAATGGCAAAGAAAGCCCTCATGTTGTTTCCATCCTCCTAAGGGAGAAGCCAGGTGGGTCCAAGGGGTGACCAGGCTGCTGAACGTCCACGATAATTTATATGGTGGAGGTAAAACCTTTCTCTGATGCAACCTTGCTCGGTTGCCTGGCAGGGCTGGCAGGAAACGGGTGGTATTCCCTTATATTGACTGTGAGCTCCTTGATAATACCCGCTGCCTTCTCACACAGCACCACCGAACGCTTCCCTGTAGCCAGGCCCTGTGGGCTGACTTTTCGGCTACTTGTCCCCCCGCCCCGTGTGTCCTCGTGGGCTCCTTAGAGTCGTCCAACATACCTGGATGGTCTTGACTTTGCTGACATCTGCACCGGATTGCTCAGAGAAGCCTTCCTCTTCCAGCTGCTGCAGCAAGGTCAGGGATTTCTTTTGCTCTCTTTTGTTCCTCTCCTTTTCCTGAAGCTTCACAGTAGGGAGCAAACAGGGCAGCGATGCTGGGATGCAGGATCGAGCGGGTACCAAACCCGCTCTGCACTGTATCAGCAGTGCGATGCCCAGCAGCCTGCGGAGCTGGGCACAAAACCAGAGGGACTGGAGGTCTAACCGCTGCCTGGGGCTAATGTGGCATCCTTCCCCAGGGCCACAGCTCACTGGGAAGGGACCCATCGGCTGTGGTCAGCGTGGCCTTGGGGACTGTGACTCCAACATGCAGCAGAGGCTGCGGCGCTGGGCACAAGGTCAGGTTATGGGATTGCGTGTAAAGATGTGTAGCAAAGATGACACTCCTAGACGACTCCTTTGATCTGTGCAAGCTAACGCTGAGCGCAGGATGTGGTAGCCAAGCATGCTGACCTTCCAGAGCTGTTCCAGAGGCCTGGTCCTGGCTCTGTTCTGTAGCACTGGCAATGAAATTTAATAAAAGCCTGCACAGCCTCATTGCAAATGAAGAGCTCTGTGCAAACGTTATGTATTACCAACCTTTCCTGCAGGCCTGCAGTGTCAGATCCTTCCCATTTATGGGGCTAAGCTTGGCTTCAGGACCCTCCCTTTCTTCCCAGCCCAAAGAGAAAAGCCAAGGTTGCTTTGGGATACGACAGGCATGACAGGACGCGTAAAACACAGGGAAGGCTGTGCTCAGTGTCACACTGGGTGCTTGCTACGCACTTGCTTTGGTTTGAACGCGTGCTCAGAGGAGAGGAGGCAGCCTTTGGAAGCCTGATTGCGCCCACGTACATCTAGAAGACCCTCAATCACTAGCAGACACGTAGCTACAAGGGTTGTGACGTATGAACAATCGATCTGAGGACTGTGCGTGGGTCCCCATCATCTTCCTCAAGGAGGCTGAAGGATGACTGTACTCCCCACAAAAAGCAATTGCTATCCAGTGAGTGGATAGGCGTTGGAAATGAGATTTCTCCCTAGCATCAATGGGTTATGTCGTGCGGGGGAAGCTCACTTTGGCTGTGTTTAAGAAGATGCAGTCTCTGAGGCTGCCTGCCTGACACCTTTCAACAGTATTAGTTTCACATCAAAAGAAAAAACATTCTCCTCTCTGCACATCCCAGAGGTGACAACCATCTGGAGGATGGTTAATTATTTGTTACAACAAAAAGACCCATCAGTATGGTGATGGGAGGCTGCAGCTTCTTTATAAAAATTACAGCCACTAGCACGGAGGAAATTAAAACAAGACCCACTGGCTGCAGGTGATAACCCCCACGGGTCTTCTAGTTCTTATGTAAAGGAGTCCAGGCTCTTCCTTTCTAGTCTCACATCTTAAAAGTTGTCTCTGTCCTCTCCCATAGCCCTTAACTTTGGGACGAGCGAGGGACTGCCAGTATCATAGCATCTCGTGTTTGAACAGAAGGGGCAGATGATGGGGACACCAGTGGAATGGTGGGAATGGGCAGACCTTAGGGGATGAGGGAGGAAGAAAGACCCCTCCTGGTTTATGCGGGGCTCCAGCCCCTGCAGTAAGTCTCTTGGGGTTACCTGCATTTTCCAGCAGTCGCTCTGGGTGAAAAAGGGCAGCGAAGCTTTTGGTCTGTTCACAGCCAGCGTAGACACCACCTACACCAAGGGCAAACTGCCACCACCTTCTCTGAAACCATCATGAGAGTCTGCACGGGAAAGGAGACCCCAGTGTGATAGTGGAGAGGGCCATTTGACAAGAAGTCTCTCTGGCTTTTGATCAGCTGCAATCCAATTTATCCACCAGCTAACTAGAGGTATATTTACTCTTCCAGTTGCTCCTGAGCTGAGAATAGAAGTGTCCTGACTGACAATTCCTCAAACCTTTTTCTGTAAACAGATTTGTTCTTGAGCAATATCTCCAGAGACTTCAAGCCCAGCCCTTCAGTACTGTTAAAGATTCCCTCTGTTCTGCAAGCTTTAGCCCTCCAGCTGTACTGGTTTAAGACCCTCACACATCTAGAGCAAAACACTTCCATCAATCCCACTGACAGCAAGGGAGACGGGAGTGATGCTGTAAGAGAGGAAAACCTTAAGACAGCTGTTTTGTTAAATTTTGTTTTCATATTCCTCGCCCCTGAAACCCTGCCTCGGTGGACTGAATCTCTTAATAAGCCTCACTGGGTCCAAGAGATCTGGGAAGGGCATTTGCCAGCCCGGCTCCGTAAAAGCCTAGCATAAAGGGCTTTAAAAACTACCTTCTGAAGTGATTTAACAGTGGCTTCACGTCAGAAGAGGACTTACGTAAACATTAAATGTTCTCTTTAAATATTAAAATATTCTCTCTGGACAAATTTAATGAAGTCTGGTCCCACAGCTTAACTACTCTACCTGATTGGAGCCTGCTCCTTAATTAGTTTCAGAAACCTCTTGGTTTGGATGTTATTGAAAAGACATTGTTAGGTCAAATTTGACCCCTAAATTAGATTTCCCATAAATATCAGCTCTTATTGAACCGAAGGACAGGGAAAGTTAATAAATATTCCCTCTCCGCAGCACTTGCCAGTCACATCCCTCCTCTGGCGGCCAGGGGAGGGCTGACGGCGGGCGACGGTGGCTGTAGTCCCTCTCCTCTGCCTTGGCACCGCTGCCATCTCCCCCCTGCCCACCCAATGCTGGGTCCTCCGAGCTATCAGCTATCAGGGACATCGCCCTGGGTGACCCAGCCAGACGTATCATTTGCTTCAGTGATCAAAAGAGGATTTCTCAGGCTCTCCACTTGTAATACAGCGTGTTGATATGCATATGTGCTGATAACACAGTGTTATCCCGGCATCAATCTTGCGTGCCTTTTCATTTATCCTATCGCCGCAATAAAAGACTGCCATACACAAAGAAATAAACCCCATCACCTCCTTCATCTCTTCTTGACTCTCCCTTTGTGAATTGATTCGCTCCCTCTTCCCCCACAGAAACACCCCCACACATTACTCCAGTCAAAAAATGGCTTTTCTGAATGTCCCTTCCTTATTTTGTACGCAGGACATGTCTCTCAGACCTCAGATCTCTAGCTCAGTGCCTCTCCAGGCAGATATGTACTTTGTTGTCAGTGAATTTCCTTCCTGGCTACAAAGAGAAAGCACAAAGCAGGAGGATCCCAAGTTCAGCATCAGCCCAACAAAACACAGCAGTCGCAGGGGGTTGGGTGCAGCGTTGCCCAGCTTTGCTTGTGCCTGTGCAAATTGGGGCGAAATGCCAATTTGGGGGCAGGAGAGGTGAACATCCACCTGCTAGTGGTGTGAGCGCAGTGACAAGACAGTTCGCTTATCTACCGAGCTGTCTTCCGAAAAAATCAAAGTTACTGTCGATAGGAACTGTCTGTGACTCATTTTGTGTCTGTTCAAAGCAGCTCCCCGAGCGCAGAGGGCACCCAGGGCTCCCTGCGCCTCCGCAGCACGCTTCGGTGTCTGCTGGGTGCTCACGACAAGCGGGAAGGGCAGGAGTGGGTGCAATCGATGCTCCCACGATGGGGGATGAGCAGAAAACACCTTTCCCCTTATTTAAGCATCGATTTTGTTTCCTCCTTCTTGTCAGAACTCTCTCTGCTGAAGCAAACACATGCCGGTAACACCAGCACCCATGCCCTGGTGAGACCCCACCTGGAGCTCTGTGTCCAGCTCTGGGCTCCCCAGTTCGAGAAAGATGAGGGACTACGAGAGAGAGTCCAGAGGAGAGCAACAAGGATGATGGGGGGACTGGAGCATCTCCCCTACAAGGAAAGGCTGAGGGAGCCGGGCTTGTTCAGCCTGGAGAAGAGGAGATGGGACCTCATCAATACATACAAATATCTTAAGGGTGGAAGTCAGGAGGATGGAGCCAGACTCTTCTCAGTGGTACCCAGTGCCAGGACAAGGGGCAATGGGCACAAACTGAAACATAAGAGGTTTCAGTTGAATATGAGGAAAAACTTCTTTACTTTGAGGGTGCCTGAGCCCTTGGCACAGGCTGCCCAGGGGGGCTGTGGAGTCTCCTTCTCTGGAGATATTCAACCCCTGCCTGGATGAAGTCCTGTGTAACATGCTCTAGGAGAACCTGCTTTAGCAGGGGAGTTGGTCTAGATGATCTCCGGAGGTCCCTTCCAACCCTTGCCATTCTGTGATTCTGTGTGATTCTGTGACATGCCCAGCCCCACCGAGCCTGCCAACCGGAGCAGCGACCAAGCACCTACCTGGCGAGCGAAGCCGTGGGATGCTGGAGGTCAGACCTCTTCTTGCCCCCGTTCACGCCTGGATGCTCCCACTGGGTTCCCCACCCTTCACACACATGTACAGGCACGGGTGTGCAATCACGAACCTGCGCAGGTCCCCATGCTTCCCGTGGAGCTGGCGAGCGGTGTGCATGGAAACGGGTTTGCCGGACGGGGAATGCTTTTATCTGCATTGGGTTTTTAAGAGTTTCTCATTTCCAGGACTTTCCTCCCTCCCCAGGCTTTAGGCTGGCAGCCGTTCTCGGTGAGCCCTGCAGCTGGATAGGGGAATCTCTCCCTGCCTCAGTTTCCCCACCTAAAAGATGGGGAAATTCCTCTCTCCCCTATTGTCTTTTCAGCTTGCAAGCCCTCCAGGATAAAGTTGTTACGATGTGCGGGTACCAGCGGTAAAATGATGCCTGTATCTTAATGATATTTCTACTGTAATGTGGACAAATTACAACAACAACAACGTTGCCACATAAGCATAACACAGAATGAAGTTTGACCCACCAGCATTACGAAAAGCATAGATTTAAGGTAATAAATCCCCTGGCAGGATCTAGAACTAAATATTAAAATAATAAATAAAACTATACATGCTAAATCTATCACCCCAAAGCTGTATAAACTCAGCAGAGAGGTGGGGAGGTATCAAAGCAGCCCAGGGGATTTGAGTGTTCATGTGGCCCCTTTTACCCCCATAACTGAGCATCCCATGGTCCTGGGCACGGTGAACCCCCTCAGGGACACAAAACTCTGCACTAAACCCCCTCTCCAGACAAATGAGGTGCAAAGAGAGCAAGTGACTTGCGTAAGATCTCCTCTTTGGTCTCCCAAGACTATCAGACAGGCGCTGATGCTGGAGGGTTTGGGATCAGGCCAGAAACGTCCTGGTGCTTCTCCCAGATGGGTGGCTACGTGCGAGGAAACCTGAGAGCAACCAGCCGAAAGCAGGCGGGACGCGAGAGGGGAAAAAATGAGTTGGGGGATGCAATGAAATCCTCCTGCATCAAATGGCTCGGTAGGGTGCTATAGCGGGGA